CTTCCGTCCCCGCTCCCCGTGTCCGAGCTTAGCCGCCTACTCAGCTCGGACGCGAAGCTGGACGTGAAAGAGTTCAGCAATGACCAGCTTTGGGCGGCGGGGCTGATCCGAGCTAGCTCCTCGGATCCCTCACCAGAGAATAGACCACTCTCCCCGGACGAGCTGGACACCTGTAACTATCCTGCCCTTCCGTCTTCCTTTCCTCTTCTTTTCTTTCTTTTCTTTTTTTTTTTTAGGCATCTACTGACCTCCTGGGCTTCTGTTTGTGCAGTGAAGCGGTTTTCTTCACTTCTGACCATCGAAGGTACCAGCAACCCGGGCGCTACCACTCAGAACCCCTCGGCCATCCCAACCAGCTCGGCGCCAATTCCGACACCTCAGCCAGCTCCTGCCCAGTCCTCCAAGGCGGTTGAGGCTGGGAAGAAGAAGAAAAAGAAGACAACTGCCAAGAGAGCTAGGGTGGAGACGACCTCGTCCCCAGCTCGGAAGGAGAGGCCAACACCTGAGCCTGCTCAAGGCGGCCACTACGGCGTGAACACCGCCGAGGAACAGGCCCGGGCTGAAGCTCCCCCTAACCTGTGGCAACGCCAGAGCTCTACCCTGCTCTTCGACCCCCAGACTCGGTTGATTACGCACTAACACCCCATGCACTTCTGCCCCCAGTGGAAACTATCCATAAATGACCGAGCACAGTTCCCCGAGGTGGCCCGGGAGCTGCTCATGGGGCCATCCTCCCACGGGACTACAACTTGGTTAAGGCCATGGACTCGTCCGACCTCCTCGACTATTACTACACGGGCACGGCTCAGGTGAATGTCGTTGGGTCCGAGCTGGCCAAGCGCTACGAGAGCCTGCTCCCCCTGATGAGCGAAACGAAGGCGGCCAACGAGAAACTCCTCGGCCAGAACGAAGCAGCTGTGGCCGAAGCTGAAGGCCTGAAGAAGCAACTCGCGCAAGTCCACACAAACTTCGAGCTGGAGCTGAAGAAGAACTCCGAGCTGATCTCCCAACTGAAGGAAGAGCAACAGAAGGCAGCCGAGCTGGCCGCTCAGGCGGAGGCGGCCAGGAGGGCGTGCGGGCCTTCCTCAGGTCAGAGGACTTTAGGGGCGACCTGGCTATCCTTAATACCCCCGTGCTGCAACATGGGTATTCCCAAGCCCTGAAGGAAGTGCAAGGGCTGGGTCTGCCCGGGTTTGATCTGGGAAACTTTCCCAGCTACAACCCCCTGGGCGTAGAGCAGCTCGACCGCCTGGTGGAGGGCTATACGCATGGACGGAAGCTGGCCGACCTAGTTGCTGACCCCCTGCTGCCAGTGACCACCCCCCGAATCCGAGCAGGAGGAGGTGAACTAGAGTAGGGCTTTAGGATAGAATCCGAACTGTCAGTAGGCAGTTCGTTTTGTATGAGCTCTGCTCTCCCTTGTACAGTTTTATTGAATGGAATGAAAAGCCTTTCTTTTGCTTCATACTTAGTCGCATTTGCAAAATTTCTTGTCATAAGACACATCAGTTCGGTCTTATGCCGGCCTAAATGAGCTATTCTCTAAGATAAAATAACCAAATACATCGATATTAATAAAAGTCTTGACCTTGAAACGAGCTGTCATGCGCGAGTTTAACGGAAAATGCTCAAGTTGGAATTGTGCCAGGTACGCGGGACCTCTCCCCCACTGAGGTGAGTTAACTTGCAGTATCCAGCTCGATCTGCCTCTTTCACCACATAGGGACCTTCCCAATTTGGATCCAGCTTGCCCGTGCCCTGAAGCCGACTCACGCTGTTCTTCCTCAAGACCAGGTCCCCTAGTTTGAAGGATAGAGGCCTCACCCTAGCATTGTAGTGTCGCGCAACCTGTCCTTTGTACTTAGCCATACGTATGGCCGCCTCTTCTCTTCTTCCTTCCAGCAGATCCAAGTTAAGACGTAGCTCGTCCTCGTTGTCCCGAGCTATGAAATTCTGAACTCTGCCCGAGGGAACACCGATCTCTGCCGGAATCACGGCCTCTGCCCCGTAAGTAAGGGCGAAAGGAGTTTCCTGGGTGGCAGTTCGAGGAGTGGTCCGGTACGCCCATAGTATTGTAGGCAGCTCGTCGATCCATCCAGTCTGAGCAGACTCTATCTGGGTCTTCAAGCCGTGCAGGATGGTCCTATTGACGTTCTCTACCTGACCATTGGCTTGAGGATGACCTACCGAAGTGAAGTGCTGCCGAATTCCGAGCTCCGAGCACCAACCTTGGAGAGAGTTGTCCGCGAACTGTCGTCCGTTGTCTGAGACCAGGACCCGGGGTATACCAAATCGACAAACAATGTTTCTCCAGAGAAACTTCTGGACCGACCTGCTGCTAATGGTGGTAAGGGGCTCGGCCTCCACCCACTTGGTGAAGTAATCCACAGCCACCACTATGTGTTCATAGCCCCCAGGAGCTCGAGGGAACGGCCCCAGCAGGTCTACCCCCCATTGGAAAAAGGGCCAAGGGCTCTGAAGAGGCACCATCTCTTGAGTTGGGGCATGGTGGATCGGAGCATGCAGTTGGCAGGATTTGCATCGGGCTACCAGCTCGGCTGAGTCCAAGAAGATGGTGGGCCAGTAATATCCAAACAACATTCCTTTTTTGGCCAGAACCCTCTGGCCGACATGGTTCCCGCAGATACCCTCATGTAGCTCACGCAGGATATAGTCTCCTTCCTCTGGAGTCACGCACCTCAACCATGGACGTAGATATGATTTTTTGTAAAGTACCCCATTCGAGAGCTCGTACCCCCGCGACTTGAGAAGGACCCTTCGTGCTTCTACCCGACTTGAGGGGAGCTCTCCGTTGGCCAGGTAGCGCACGAGGGGATCCATCCAGGAGCTTACTACTTGAATAACGGTCGCATCTACCTGATCATATGCCCGATTCCTGACGACCTCCACCAAGACCTCTTTGTTCAACGTGCCCACTGAGGTGGAGGCTAGCTTGGACAGTGCGTCTGCCCTCTTATTTTGGCTTCGCGGGACCTGCTTGAGCGTGAACAGTTTGAACTGAGCTCTCAGCTCATGCATTCTGGCGACGTACCTTCTTAGTGGCTCCTCTTTAACTTCATAACTTCCCCCTACCTGATTTACTATCAGTTGCGAATCACTGTAGACTTCTATTGATTCGGCCCCCAACTTTCGAGCTATCATCATCCCCGCGACCAGGGCCTCGTACTCGGACTCGTTGTTGGAGGCCCTGAAATCAAATCTCAGGGCGTAGGCCAATTCATCCCCCATGGGGCTGGTCAAGAGAAGTCCCGCTCCGCATCTTTCCTTGCTCGACGACCCATCCACGAACAGCGTCCAGGTCGGAATGGACTGACCTACCTTTCCGGCGGCCTGCTCGACCTCCACAGCATTTCTGACCTGTCCGGCCTCCGCTGTGTTTCCATTCGGCTCGTCCTTAGCTTCCTTTGTGGCCTATATGACCTCGACAGGTTATCCGGCCTGCTTGGCCTCGGTTGCGTATATGGTCTGTTCGGCCTTGGAAGTCTTAGTGGCTTTCGTGACCTCGGCAGCTTCTCCGGCCTGTCTGGCCTCAGCTGCGTTTTGGGTCGGTTCGAACTTGGCGGCCTGGGCGAACTTCGGCATCTTCTCCGGCCCGCTCGGCCTTAGCTACGTCTCTGGTCAGCTCGACCTCCGATTCCTGTTGTCCAAAGAAAATTCCTTCGGCTATGAAGTCTGCCAATGCTTGGGCTTTAATGGCCGTGCAGGGTTGGTAGCTGAGGTCGTACTCGGACAGCTCCACGGCCCACCTCACCATTCTTCCCGATGCATCAGGCTTTGAAAGAATTTGCTTGAGAGGCTGGTCAGTCATTACTATCACGGGGTGAGCTTGGAAATACGACCTGAGCTTCCGGGCCGCGTGAACTAATGCCAGAACATACCGCTCAATCGAGGTGTACCTTGGCTCCGCGCCCTGCAGAGCTCGGCTGACATAGTATACGGGCTTCTGGATTTTGCCTTCTTCCCGAACTAGCACCGCACTGATTGCCTCCTCCCCCATTGATAGATAGATAAATAAGGTTTCTCCTTGTGCGAGAGAGGTCAAGGCTGGCAACTGAGCGATGTGGGCTTTTAGTTCGTCAAACGCTCACTGGCACTCGGGGGTCCACTCAAACTGGGGACCTCTTCGCAAGGGCTTTGAAGAAGGGGAAACCCCGAACTGCAGACTTCGACAAGAACCTGTTTAAGGCCGCCATCCTGCCAGCTAGCCGCTGGACCTCTTTTATGTTTCGGGGAGGAGCCATGTCCAGGATAGCTTTTACCTTGTCGGGATTAGCTCTTACCCCGTCCTTGGATATCATGTACCCAAGGAACTTGCCCGACCTAACCCCAAAGGTGCACTTCTTGGGGTTCAGCCGCATCCGCGAGCTCCGTAGGACGCCAAAGATCTCCCTGAGGTCGTTGATGAACTGCTCCTGAGTTCGGCTTTTCACCAGCATGTCATCTACGTATACCTCCATATTTCGGCCGATCTGGTTTCTGAACAGCTTGTTGACCAGCCGCTGATAGGTCGCGCCAGCATTCTTTAACCCAAATGGCATGGTGGTATAACAGTACGTGCCGTACTCGGTGATGAAGGCAGTCTTCTCCTGATCCTCCTCATCCAGGGCTATCTGATGATACCCTTTGAAGGCATCCAGAAAGCAAAAAATCTCGCATCTGGTAGTCGAGTCTACCAGCTGGTCGATGCGAGGGAGAGGGTAACAATCCTTCGGACAAGCTTTATTCAGGTCGGTGAAATCCACGCACATCCGCCAAGCCCTGTCCTCCTTTTTGACCAGCACAGGGTTGGCCAGCCAGGTCGGATAGTAGATCTCTTTCACAATTTTGGCCTCCAACAGCTTGCCTACCTCCTCTTTGACGACCTCGTTGCGTTCAGCCGCGAAGTTTCTCTTCTTTTGCTTCACTGGCCGGATGCTCGGGTCCACGTGCAACTTGTGAACTGCCAGTTCGGGAGGAACTCCGGGCATGTCGTCAGTACTTCAAACAAAAATCTCGGCGTATTCCTCCAGGAGAGACTCCAGGGCTCTCCGCGTTAGCTCGTTTAGGCCGGATCCAGCCCTAACCACACGATCAGGTCGTTCGGGGCAGATAGACAATTCAACCAGACTCTCGTCCGTCTCCAACCTCTCCTCTTTTTCAGCAGGTCCCCAAGGTTCCAGATAGGCTGCCTGGGCTACCAGCTTCTCCTTACCCTTGAGGGTTGCGATATAGCAGGCCCGAACTACCTCCGGGTCTCCCAGCACCTCGCCCACTCCATCGGGCGTTGGAAACTTCATGCTAACGTGTAAGGTCGAACAGACAGCTCGGAGTGCGTTTAGGGTTGGCCGTCCTAGTATCATGTTGTAGGAGGATGGCTCCTTTACCACCGCGAAATTCACCGGAACAGTTCGGCACCTCGATGACTCCCCTACAGTGACCATGAGGGTTAACATTCCCTCTGGCCTTATTGGCGGACCTGCAAAACCTATCAAAGGAGTACGAACTGGGATGAGCTGCTTATCTTCCAGCTGCAGTTCTCTGAAGGTCTTGTAGTACAACACATCGATGGCGCTCCCATTGTCGATGTATACCTTCTTTACTTTGTAGTTACACGTGATGACTTCTATCACAATTGCCTCATGGTTATTGAAGGCTAAGGGTACCGCATCCTCTGGCCCATAGATGATCTCCTCGTACAACTTTAAGTGCTTGTTCGAGCTCTCCCCACTGGGGGGAGGTCGATTATTTCGCCGAGCCGTATGGCTATCTCCCCCAGCAGGTCCCCCTGCAATAGTGTTGATCACTCCTGCTAGGTTCTGAACTCCCTGCTCTGGAGTTCGATCACGAGAACCCCGAGGTCGGTCGTGCGAGCTGGTCGCCCGATCTCGTTTGAACCCCCCTTGCTTTTGATCAGTTCGCCCCTCACGGACAAACTGGCCAAGATGACCTCTTCGTATCAGCTTTTCGATTTCCTTCTTAAGATGGCGGCAGTCCTCAGTATCGTGCCCGACGTCCCGATGGTAAGCACAGTACAGGCCTTGGTCGCGCTGGTTTTTGTCGCCAGCCAGCGGCTGAGGGGGGCGGGAGAGCCCTTGTTGTTCCATTACGGCCAGAACCCGAGCTCTTGGTGCCGTGAGCGAAGTCCAGGCTTTTTCCTTTTCCCATGGTCGGCTCCGAGGTAAGCGCTCAGATACGCTCTTCCGCCCCTGACCTGGTCTCGACTCTCCCAGGTCGGTACCCCTCCTGCACTTGTCGTCTCGCAACCTCTCCTGGGCGCCCTTCAGTCGATTGGCCTCCTCGGCGTTCGCCTTCTCATGAGCTCGGTCTAACATCTCCCGGACGGACTTGGGAGGTCTTTCTACGAACTCCGTATACAACTTCTGTTTGCGCAACCCATTGACGAAGGCGGCCATCACCACCTTGTCATCTCGGTCCCGAACCTGGAGGGATTCATTGTTGAAGCGTACCATATACTCGCGCAACGACTCCTCGGGCCCTTGATGAACAGTCATCAAATGAGCCGTAGTTTTTGAGAAGGCGCGCGAGGAGACGAACTGAGCTGCGAACAGCAGCGCAAGCTGGCTGAATGACCGAACTGACCTGGGAGGCAACCCCTGGAACCACTACCGGGCCTTTCCTTCCAGGAACATCGGGAAGGTCTTGCACCTGACCGCATCAGCAGTCGTCTGCAGGCGCATCTGAGTCAGAAATGCGAACAGGTGATCTTCCGGATCTGTGGTCGCGTCATAGGACTTCATGGACGGTATCTTGAACTTTGCCGGCAGGGGATAGTCTTCGATATCCGGCACGAAGGGAGAGGCTGTGTACCTGTCCGACTCTGGATCCAGCATGAGGTCCAGTTCATCCTGGATCTGGTATTCCTCCTTCCTGTGAGGAACCTCCACCCGTGAGGGCCTCGGGACAGGCTCCGGATGACTAGTTCGGGAGTTCCTGTGAGAGGGCTCCGGAACCTGGACCCGTTCACGCGTGAGCTCCTTTCGTGCCCTCTTCGGCCGAGGGCCAGGGCTCCCTGATCGGGATTCCGAACTCCCTGTTCCGTCAGCTTTTCGCACCCGGGGCTCCGGACTGGGAGGGACTCCGGATTGCCCCATTTGGTATTTCACAATGGCCTCGAAAGTAGGCAAGTTCGCCGCTACAGACTGCACCAGCTGTTCTGGCGAGATCCGCGAGAGCTCGTTCCTTTCATTCTCCACGATGGTATCCTGGTGGACGTGCTGAGGGTCACCCTGCCCATTCCCCTCAGAACCATCCACGTTCCTCTGAGACCTAGTCTTCGGCATGTTGTTCGCGAAAAAAAGAGAATAGTTTCCCACAGACGGCGCCAATTGATGCGACTGCCGAAGTGAAGGTCCGAACTGGCCTAATGCCTGGGGAGCGAGCTGGCGAGGCGTTCGACCTGCGCGTGAACGAGCTGCGGAGCTAAGTCCCCTGAAGCAACTCCGACGATCAAGTCAGAATGGATTCGTAAGTAGAAGAGTAGAGTTTGCACTATGAGTAGCGTACCTTGTGTTTTTCCTACGCGTGGTATTTATAGAGTCACAAGTAGTAGTTTCCTGGTAGGACAAGGAGTCTTTGTTGGAGAGAAACGGCTCCTAGGGCTCCACTACCCAGCTCCGATAAATGCGGGCTTCGCAGCCCATCAAGCCCATCCGCCTGGGAGGCGGCGCCCATCTGGACCTGCGAGCTGACCTAACACTCTGACCAGCTCCTCATGTCCGAACTCGTGGGCCGGACTGATGTGTTTGTGGACCGGGCCGATGTGCGCATGGGCCCCACTACAATATCCAATATGAAAAAATAGATCCATGTGATTAAAATAATTTTTAAATTTTATCTCATGTTAAATTTTTTGCTAAATCTATTTTTATCATTGGTGTTATACATATATAAAAATAAAGTCACGTAAAAAGTAAAGTAAAAGTGGGGGTTGGGGCACCAGTGGCGTGGCGGATGGAGCGGAAGGCGGAGGAATTTTTTAGGTAATAGAACGGGTCCCAGCCACGCAGACGCTGCCAAGCGTAAGTGTATCCTGTTTTGATTGAAGCTAAAAAGTGCGCCTAAATGCTAAATTCCCCGGTAAACCCACCGGGGCTAAAGTTGTAATGTGAATTTGGCTCTTTGTGGACTGAAGTTTGAATAGAGTTGACCAGTGGGCTATAAAGAAAAGCTCCCCGCTTTCATGGTTTCTTGTCTACTACCGGTAGTAAATTTTCCGATCAGCCGCGACCAGAAAGCTTCTTCTACTTCAAAATTGAACTATTGGTACGATCTTTTTTTGCTTTTAGTAATTCTTTGATCTTACTCTTTGGATTTCTTCTTTCTTGAAATCAGATAACTAATGGAGCTTTTCCATCCTGTTGATCAGAGATGGCGACTTATGCTGCACTGGCTTCTCTTCTGCAAACACTGGATTATCTACTGAAGTTCCCGTTGTTGATCCTCGAAGTTAAGAAAATGAAAGCCGAAGGTCTCAAACCAAAACTCGATGAACTCTTATTGCTTTTGACGGCAGGAGAACCCTCCGCAGTGTCGAGCTCGAGCTCCGGCTCTTGTCTGTGGAAGCTAATTGAAGAAACTGATCGATCTCTGCAATCATCTGTAGAAGATTTTATTGAGGCACTTGGGAGGTCTCATGCAGCTGATACTTCGGAGATCAGACAAAGATTGCTACTATACTTTACTAGCAGTACAAAGCCAAAATTTGAACTTCTTGCGGAGGGAAAGCCTCAAATATTCAAGGAGATCACATCCTTTGAGGAAAATTTGATGAAATTTCTCCACACCACTGTTCAAGACTGCTTCTCAGGCAGGCCTAACCATTTCTTGTACCGATATGGCCATGTGGAAGAGGATCTAAATCCTCGAGAATTGCCAGATTTTTTTATACAAATTGTATATTCTCAAGTAGACAGTGAAACACCAGTAGATGATTCCCTGTTCTCCTCACCAAGCAGTGAGACTGATGACCCCTACGTCGACAAACTTGACTCGACCGTACAACATTCAAATGGAACCATCTCCTTTCCAGACCTTGAACAGCTGTTGTCGTTGGCATTTCGCCAGAGCCGACTTCCAGTAATTGTTAACAAGATGGGACATTTGTGGAGAACCTGTCATCGGGTCGATGACAGCACACTAGCTTCTCGAAAGCCACTTCCGATTTAACAACTCTCCACCAGGATATTCGGTTCTTGCTAACTTTTCTTAAGGAGGATTCTTCTAATAAATTCTGCCCTCATCATGAATTGCTGAAATGTATGAAAGATGTTGCAGATAGAGCAAGGGTTCCTGTCGAACAATGTATGGTAGACTACCAAATCGAGTCCATTATGACGTACCCCTTTTGCTTATTGGCTGGGATTCCTGCAAAATTACAAGATTCTGGAAAGATTCTTGAGTGTGCAGTGGACAGGATTTTCTACGGAAAGAAGGGCATTTCCCAATATTTGGTGCAGGCATCAATGCAGATTCAACCCATTAAAGAAATGATTACAAAGATAAATGATGAGAGTTCAAGTGCGCACACATCAATTGGCAGCATGTCTCTACGCCATTCAAATAAGGACGACATTGTGGTGGGTCTTGATGATGAACTGGTTAGCCTCCTGGAGGGACTCACCAGAGTGCCATCAGGGCTAGAAATTGTGACCATTTTAGGGATGGGCGGCATTGGTAAGACAACTCTTGCTCGAAAAGCTTTTCGTCATTCTTACACTGAATATCACTTCTATTGCCGTGCATGGGTCACAGTTTCCCAAGTATATCAAGTCAGAGATTTGTTACTGGGCCTTTTGGGCTGTCTTGGTCACTCCACTGATAAATTGGTAGAGAAAAACGACGCTCAATTAGCTGAAGTTGTGTACAGAAGTTTGAAAGGTAAGAGGTACTTGATTGTTATGGATGACATATGGAGTATCGATGCTTGGAATGATGTCAAAAGATGCTTTCCTGATGACAAAACTGGTAGTAGAATCTTATTAACCAGCCGCGTTACAGAGTTGGCTAGCTACATCAATGCAAAGAAGCCTCCTCATTGTATGAGTCTTCTGGATACTGAGCAGAGTTGGGAACTGTTGGAGAAGCTTGTATTTGGGATAGCAAGTTGCCCGCCTGAATTGGAGAAATGTGGAAAGCTTATAGCTAAAAGATGCCAAGGACTACCACTAGCAATTGTTGTAATGGCTGGTGTACTTTCACGTGTCGTCAAGACATATGACTGTTGGAATAATTTTGCAGAGAAGGTATGCGCAATCATCTCCACTAATCCAGAAGAATGCCTGGATATACTTGCTTTGAGTTACAATTATTTGCCCCATCATCTCAAAGCCTGCTTCCTCCATATGGCGGCTTTCCCTGAAGACTGTGAAATAGAAGTTCAAAAGTTGATTAATCTATGGGCTGCAGAGGGATTCTCGGATCCCCAATCTTCAGAAAATCTAGAACAGGTGGCAGAGGAGTATTTGGAAGACCTTATTGGTAGAAACTTAGTTTTCATTGAAAAGGAGTGTTTTGGAGGAGAAGTCAAGACCTGTCGTCTCCATGATTTCTTACGTGAATTATGCTTGAGAGAAGCACAGAAAGAGGACTTCATGCATGTGATACAAAAGAGAGGTACCAAACGCTCTCGAGTAGGCTTGCGTAATCAGCATCGCCTCAGTTTCCATTTGGATCCTTACAATGATGTGGCTGCGGCACCTGGAATCCCACACGTCTCGTCTTTTATGTGTTTCACATTGGGTACTAATATTGTTCCGAATATTCTGTTCTTTCAATTAGGCTTTAAGGTGCTTAGAGTATTAGACATATTCTTTCTGCATTTTGATTACTTCCCTGCCCGAATACTAAAACTGATTCATTTGAGGTATCTTGCGCTCAGTGCTACTTATGAGCTTCCTGCATCAGTATCACAACTAAGGAATCTCCAAACGTTGGTGATTCATGGTCCATGGCACTGCCGGGAGTCTGGCAGTAGCCCAACATTGTTACTGGAGTATTGGAGTATGCCTTCATTGAGGCATCTCCAGTGTAGTGTGACTATTTATTTGAAGAATCCTCCTGGAGCTAATAGTGAACTCCCTCAGCTATTTGTTTCAAAAAACCTACAAACTCTCTCTACCATCAAAATTTCATGCTGCACAAAGGAAGTTTTCAGTGTCATGCCCCATCTCAAGAAACTTGAAATTTGTGAGACAGAAGAAGACTGCGGCATATGTGAGCCATCTGTATTACTTGGGAATCTACAGTACTTGAAAGAGCTTGAAACACTTGAGTGTTGCTTCTACAAACAAAGAGTAGAAGCGCGGCAAATATCATTTTTTTCTGCCCTGCCATGTTCTCTTAGGCAATTGAGTTTAAGTTGGAGTTATTTGCCATGGGAAGACACGAGCTTGATTGGCATGTTACGCAGACTTGAGGTGCTCAAACTCAAACATTTTGCTTTCCATGGACCTAAATGGGAGCCAAAGACTAAAGGTTTTTGTCGTCTGACACACTTGCTGATTGAGAACACTGATTTGGTCCATTGGGAAGCCACAGTTCATCACTTTCCACGCCTTCAATATCTAGTTCTGAAGTCCTGCAAGCTTTTGGAGGAGATCCCTTTTGATGTGGAGGAAATTGGTACCCTGCAGCGAATTGAGCTGCATCACTGTAACAAAACTACCGAGATATTAGCTAGAGAAATTCAAGAACAGGTTGAAGGCATCGAAGTTGTTATTAGAAGTGAGCGGTAAGTGAAAATTCTCGTTTAATTTCCTTGACTGCCGATGAACATCGGTGCAAATGGATGCAATTTCATTTGAGTAGCGTTGTGCTGTCTTTCCCTGCACCTGTTGTTGTTAATTGACATATTGTTATACGTCTTCGATTGGTTTATGAAGCTACTTATTTCCTTCTGGTGTCTGTGACAGGAATCCAGACCGTGCATAAGAAGAAAATTCAGTTCCTCTTTTGAGGTGGACTTCCCACTCCATCTCAACTTCTCTGCTGCTCTTTTCTCTTCTACAAGCCATTGTGTAAGCATTTAACAATGCATTGAATGCGCAGTCTTTGATTAATTTATGTGCATGGGAAAATTTAGAATTGTGTATGATCTTGGTCAGCAGCTGACAAATTGCTTCCATTCTTTATTATATTTTTTCTTTCAGTATTACTACGTTTGTGTCTCTCAATTTATCAATTTTACTGAGAAGAAACTAGTTTCATTATGATTATCATGGATGATATGAGGTCCTTTCACAATATATTTGCTTGATGATCTTCTTGTGCATGCTCTTCTGCTTTGAAATGATAATCGTGCATGTGTTCGTCCGATTTTTGGTCACCGATGAACCAAGGTTGCGCTGCGCATGTTACCTCAACACCATGATACGGTGCTGATTTACAAGATTGAATATTGGCTGGGTGTATGTTATCAGTTCAAAACCAGGAAATTGGAAGGTTTATGCTTTTCTGCATAGTTTCCAGAAAAGGAATTTGCTTTGGAAATTCAATGAGAAAATATCCTTCTTGTCTTAGATAGCAAATTGATCAGTTAGGGAACTTCTAATTCATTTAATATTGGTTAGGAGCTAGGAGCTTCCATAACTAAGACACCTTTCTGTTCCCCAAGAGCAGCTTCCCAAAATAAATGGCTGTAATATACGAATAAAGTCCCATCCCATCATCTGATGATACATTAATGGTCCTGCACTTGAAGTTCTCACACCCGCAACTATTTCTAAGATTCTGCCATAATATCCTATCCGAAGTTGGGAATCTCTTGTGAGTGGTATAGAAAAGTGTACTGTGGTTCTGGGAAGCAATGGTTGAATATGGGGATATGAAAGAAAGGCCATGCTCTTGCGATTGGAGGAGGAGTATTAGAAACTGCTATCTCTGAGACGTTTCCGTATCACCTCAGCCAAAAGTTTAGGATTCCTACCATTTTTGTGGGCTGGTTCCTTAGGCTCTGAGAAACCTGGACAAGATTCACATCTCAGAATCATTTCGGTCTTCCAGGACCTTGATTGGTAGTTGTTCCCGAAGTTTCATTCCATCCTTTGATATCTTAAAAAAGACTGGTAACATGTGAAGCCTACAGGGACATTTCATCCAAATGCCTAACGATCTTGTCCACTTCAGTCTCTTGTGGGACGATAACCGTGGTGGGAAGAGAGATGTTAGTTTGGTGCTAAATTTTATAGTTCGATCAGAGTATAATTGAGGAGAACAAAGTGCATTTAATCCAAAAATGAAAACAATAATGAGTCAGGTCCAACCCAATCAGTCAAACTTTTCTCTATTTTCCTCGATTTAAAATAAGAGTAATATTCACTTGCATTAATTTTTATTTTGGTCTCGGAATTTGGAAATAAGATGTGTTGGCCTTTAAGGTATAAATGTGTTACACTTTAATTCCTAAAGTATAAAATTGGTTTCATCTTAATCCTCTTAAATATAAAATCTATCCCACTTTAGTCCATAAAATATAAAATTTATTCCACTTAAATATAAAATTTGAGGTAAATCTTCCATGCATTGTATCCTAGTGGAGTTTGATGCATTCCATACATGAAAAATTTGGAATTCAAAGTCAACTTCAGATATGTTTGGATTGCTATTTTCTGGAATTTTGCATAAACATATAATACAACGATTTGATATATGCGAGGCAAAAAGGTGATTAAAAAATTTGTTCATAAAAAACGTAAAAAATTTTTGAGGGGAAAATGACTTTTCAAATAAAGTGGCATGCATGACCTATTCGTGTGTGCACAAATAATGTAAGATCTCATCGAAAGAAAAGGACAATGTAAGAAAAATTAGTCTATGAAATCTATTTCATTTTCCCCAATGATTTTACTTAAATAGGACAAACGTTTTTATATTTAAGGAACTAAGGCATCTCATTTCAAAGTATAGAGATGAAAGTGAAATTTCGGGTAAAATTAAAATGTAAAGTGAAATTAACTCCTAAAACAATAAAAGGATGGATTTCTCAAGGCACCAAAAATGAGGCCTCAACAACGGTCAATATTTGCCCCCACAAAAATTAAAAGCTATCCAAACACACTCATAAATGTTATCCACACAGTATAGCAAACAACTGTATCCCAGCACTTGACCAGAAGACTCTCCTTGGGTTGACTACTATACTTAAAATCTGATCATTCTATTCTTCTTAGGTAAGTATCTCCGATCAGTCAAAAACTTTTCTGTTTTTATGACAATAAGGGATCATTCATTTTTCTGAATTCTGATTGTGTTCCGCTTCTCTGCTACTGGTGAGTGTTATCCTAACAACTTCTCTTCCATTTTTTTTCTACACCGATCAGTCGAAAGGGGTTCATTTTTGCCTTTTGATTGCTCTGTTAGGTGCTTATGTTCAACAAGTTTTTCTTTTATCCCGAATACATGCTTATCCCGTCTCTACTGGATATTTTAAACCAAAAAATCTCCTTTTTATGCTTCTGGTTCCTGTAATTGCTTGTCTTCCAACCCTTTTTCATGTACCTACAGATTTTGTTAATCGTCTTGGAGACATTCCTATTACAGCTGAGATATGGCCTACGCTGCAGTTGCTTCCCTGGTACAAACGCTGGAGTATCTGCTGCAATTTCCCTGTTTGGTTCTGGAAATGAAGAAGATGCAAGCGGAGGTTGTCACACAGGGATTCCGTCAATTCGTATTGTTCCTGAACTGAGAACCCTTAGCTTCGTGGATCATTGAAGAACATGGAACTCTCTCATCCAGCTTTGAAGAATTTCTTGGGGCAGTTGGTCCGCATGCTGACTTCTTGGAGATCAAGAAAAGAACACTGTCCTTGAGCTGCGGAATACCAAAATTGCAGGAGAAAAAGCCACCAATTCTGACGGAAATTGGATATTTGGAGCAAGACCTGAAGAAATTTCTGGAAACCACTGTCCTCGACATCCGGACAGATCTATCCAACTACGTTGTTCATCAACCTTCTCGTGAAGCAGCAAGAAAAACGCTTCGGGCCGTGGATAAGCTCAAACAGGCCATAATCTTTTTCTATGAAGTTGCTTCTGAGATCACAATTCTCTACCAGGATCTTTTCTCCTTGCTGAGTTTTCTTGATGATTCTTCTGATAAATTCTAGGATCATGAATTGCTGAAATGCATCAAAGACGTTGCTTATAGAGCAAGAGATCTTGTTGAAGAATGTATCGTGGACAATCAAGTCGAGTCAATAAAGACGTACCTCATTTGCACTTTGTCCAATAGTGAGTCACCATCTAGATTCCTACATCAGGCAGTGGGGAAAAGTTCTCTTGAAACCGTGGTCAAGAGTGCCTTAGATGGAAAGAAGGGCATTCGTCGAGGTTTAGTTCATGCATTACAAGATGTTCAATCTATCAAGAGAATGACTACAAATATAGATGAAAAGAGTCTAAGATTGCAGGGATCAAGCATCAGGAAAGCACCACTTAGTTCGAATAAGGAGGATATTGTGGTAGGTCTTGATGCTGAGCTGACGACTATCTTGGAGGGGCTCACTGGACTGCCAGGACTAGAAATAGTGACAATTTCTGGGATGGGCGACATTGGTAAGACAACTCTTGCTAGAAAAGCTTTTAATGATCCTTATATTGTTTATCACTTCTATTGTCGTGCATGGATAACAGTATCCCAAGTCTATCAAGTGAGAGATTTGTTACTAGGCCTTTTGAGCTCCATTGCACGGTCCGCTGATAAAATGGTTGAGAAGAGCAATGCTCAATTAGCTGGTTTTGGGTGAATTCTTAGTTTGTGATGGAAAAAAAAAGGAATTCTACAACGATGGCGATTTTTGGAGCGCTTTCTATAATTGGGGTCTTCGCATTCCCAGAATGCGAGCTCACTGAGCTCGCACTAAACACCGCCAAGACTCCATTTCAAAAAAAAAAAAGACAAAAGTAAGTTTGTCGAAGCAGAACGCCAAACATAGCTGTCGAACAGGAAAACAAAGAGTTCGGAATTGTACGTAAAAGCAAAACAAAGAAAACAGAGCTGGTTTCTGCACATCGAAACATCCAAAGACCGGAGCTGACCGGAGCATCCAAAGACTGGTTCCGCGAGTGCCGCTTCCCAAAATTTGCCTGCATTGCCGTCCCAACTCTCAAACAGCATAAAGGTTAGGCTTTTTCACTTGCAATGCCTCACTTATAGCATTTTAAGTTTAATTAATACTTGAATACTTGAATCCAAGACAAGTTCAGATTTGTGGTGAAATTTGGGTTTAAATTTGATGTGGGTTGTGCTTATTTTTGTAATTTTTGTGGTGGATTTGAGGATATACGTTATATTTTTTGAATTCGTACAATGTTTCCACTTTCCAATGTTGGAGCAGTTTATTTGCAGTTTCTGCAATTAGTGCAGAAAAAGCATGATCCGAGGTCGGATAAGACTCTACACAGACGGATCCGACCTCGGATCATTTGGATACGGGCTCGGATCCATAGTTGTTCACCCGGATCCGAGGGCTCGTCTGATCATCCGTTGAGACGGATCCGAACCCTGTTGGATCCGAGCGATGCCATAAATTATCCGAGCTCGGATTTTTGCATTTCATAATAAATGCGAGGTTTGGTTATTTTTTTTTTTTAAAATTTTTTTTTGGATGTCGTCGTTCGAAAATTCGAGCTCCGTGAGTTCGCATTTGCTGAATGCGAAGACCCTTTGTACGTAATCCCATGCTGAAAATGCCCCATTTGTTGAATTCTTTTAAAATTCATCATAATTTTTTGTGCTTAAAATCTATTGCGCAGCTATTACTTTTGGTCGAAACACTATCTACATTGGACATTGTATGTTTTGCAATTGGAGCTTAGAAATTTGGGATGTAGTTTACAGATTGGAGCTTTTGAATTTCATGGATATTTGGATTGTTAGCCCCTTTATAGGGGAGACTATGTCGATATTTTTGTAGATATTTCTTTGTGAGGGCAACTGACTATTAGGTAATTTATTTTATATTACAACTACCATTTCTTATGCATAAGGCTTAATTTGG